GGGCCAGAGAATGTGTATATCCATGGAATGAACATGTCCCATTTCTAATATTCCAGAATATGTCATTCAGGGAAATGTTTTTGCTTTTTCTTTGGAAAAAAAAAAACCCAAACAAACAAAACAAAACACTGAAGTCTCAAGAATATCAACATTAATGTTTAAAAATGAAGGATTAAATATCTCAGTATCTGACTAGATCTGAGTAGCTGGTGACAGTGCTGCCAGCGGAAGGCAGGGGTGTGATGCCCCTTTTGAAAAAACAAACGTGTGGCGAGGAGCCGTCAGGGACGGAAATTGAAGTCAACACATTCTTTTAAAGTATTGTCTTGGTGGAACTGTTTTTAAGCCTACAGACTAGAATCTTTCCTCCTATTTGGGAAGGACAGTTTAATAGAGGATTATTATACTATTATTAGGTGCTACTGAATCGAGCACGACTCATAGGGATCCTACAAACAACAGACCTGAGCCCTGTCCTGTCCTGTGCCAATCTCACAATCTCGGACACACTTGAGTCCATTGCTGGAATCACTGCCAATCCACCTGGTTGGGAGTCCTCCTCTCCTTTGCCATCCCTCCACCTTTCCAAGCAAGATGTCCTTCTCCAAGGACAGAGATGGGAAAATGTAAATATTATACTTGCCAAGAGTTTAAAAAAATATAAACACACACACGTGTGTGTGTGTGTGTGTGTGTGTGTGTGTGTGTGTGTATCATGCATATTTATATATGCATCTATGTATCACTACACACTAGGGAACTCTAGTGGACTAATGCTTAGGAACTGAGCTGCCAAACGAAAGGCACAAGGTTCAAACCCACCAGCTGCTTCATGGGAGAAAGTTGGGCAATCTCCTCTGTACAATTTACTGCCTCTGAAAACCCACTGGCAGGTTATATCTATGAGTGAATCGGTTCTGACTTGACAGTACATAACAACAACTACACATTACCTTCTTTCTCTTGGGGGGCACTAACAATAAGCTGAAAATCTTGGGACAAATCAATTTCTTGTTTGTTTATAAAGCCTAAGAAATCCCCTGGCTTCAACTGCCTTTTCTCCCTCAGGTATACTAAAAGCCCAAGGATGAACAGAAGGTAACAGCACGGATGTTCTAATTAAACTACCTGAAATAACGCTTTTAGCTAAAACAGGGGCTCTGAACCAGTTCGTTTTGAAACCCCTGCTGAGAATGTGCCTTTCTGCCCCAGATACATGGAATCAGCATCCATACTTTTATCAAGATCCCAGATGATTTTTAAGGAGAGCTGGTGGCAAAGTGCGTTACATGCTGGGCTGCAAACACAAAGGCTGGGGGTTCAAATCCATCAGCCTTTCTACTGGAGAAAGGCAGGCAGTCTTTTCCTGTGAGGATGTGAAGCCTCAGACGCCCAATGGAGGGGCACCATGAGTTGGAAGAGAATCAGCGGCAGTAGGTTTAGCTGTTTGCTTTTATATTTTGCCCTAGCCTAGTAGTAAGAAGCTGTGTTGCAGTCCCGAAGGCATGTAGTTCGAACCCACCAGCTGCTCCGCAGGAGAATGGGCGAGCTCCTCCCATTCCATTTAACTGCCTCTGAAAACCCGGAGTGGGGTTGTCAGCTATGGGTACTCAAAAACAAGTGTAACCACGCACACGTTTCATTTCCGAATGACATAACTAACCGTTCTGACAGGCGGTCCTATCACAGTGTCATGTGGTGGCACCAGCACGACTAAGGAGGCCTCCGCTGATCTTCCTGGCCGCGTCCACGGTAACACTCAGGGGGCAGCACGGCCTGAGCTAAAGAAAACCTTCTGTTTTCAGAGCAGCCTCCAAGCACAGAGCTGCCTTCTTAAACGGCAACACACACACCACTCGGGAATGAGAAATACACATTCCAAACACTCTGTGCTTCTTAGAGAACCACTGCCTTAATCTGTGGTGAGACGGTTTACACGGACGGAGCAAAGGCTTCCGCTAGAATCACGTCCACAACAGCAGCATCCTCCGTGAGGCACGCGTGGGCTAGACAGCTTCTAAAACTACGTTCCCGTGCCGTTACCAGTCAGTCGGCCCAGAGGAGCCGTGGCAGAACTGGACCTCCAGAGGCCAGGCAACTCAAGAGGTCACTGTGGAAATTTGGGGCAAAAGAAAAAAAGCCCTTTCTTAAGCCATTCTACTAATATTTGCTTCTCACTTTCCACACTCAACGCAGAAAACAGCCTGAGTAACACTCTCCAGGTACCTGCAAGAAGCCCTGGTGGTGCAGTGGTTAAGTCCACAGCTGCTAATGGAAAGGTCCAAGGTTCAAACTCACTACCTGTCACTGGAGGAAAGATCAGGTGATCTATTCCTGGAAGGTGACCTCTGAGGACGCCCTGGGGGCAGTTGTACTCTGCCATACGGGGTCATTAAGAGTCAGAATTCACTTGGCGGCACTGACAACTAAAGCAGCGTCTGACACTGCCAGCTGCTGCCAGGGAGGCTGACCCAAATCCAGTCATGTTTATGTGGGGTAGCTCCTGTCTCAGCAACAAGTCAAGCTCAAATGGCTGAAGGCGAAGTCCAGACACAGAGATTCACAAACAACTCACAAAGCCTCCTCGTTCATCAACAACCCAGGAACGCTCCAAAGACAAGTAACAACTTTGCTTTTCTTACGTGATGTCAACTGCAATTGCCCAAAAAGGCATTAACTTAACTTTCTGAGAATAAGATGGGGCGGGGGGGGGGGGGGAAGAAGGGGAACAATTTCATCGCCTGGCCAACCAAGAAAGGTATGCAGGACACTGTCACACAACCCAGCTCTGCTGGGCTTCACGCACTCTTTACGAACGAGCAGGAGAGGTGAAATGCGCTGTGTGAGCCACCGCGAGCTGAGACGAGCAAGGAATGCAGCTGAAGACGAAGAAACAAGGTTAAAACAGAAGACGTGATTAGAGACGGAAACGTGAGGGTGGGAGATATGGACAAGTGATGACACAGCCCACGCCCTGCCTGTCGGTGTGCCATCCTGTGGGGGCCTGCATGGTGCTGCGATGCTGGAAGCTATGGCACCAGTAAATCAACTCCCAACAGGATCACCCACAGTGGACAGGTGTCCACAGGGCTAAGCGGCTAGGAAGAAAGGCCTGGCAAACAACTTTTAGAAGTCAGCCAACGAAAACCTTATGGATTACAACTGACCAATGCACAATACGATGCCAGGCAATAAGCCTCCAGACTGGAACGAAAATGCTTGGGACACATGGGGCCAAAACATGGAAACACGGACTCAGCATGTCACTGGTCATGAAGATACCGCAGTACGTCTGTTAGACACAGGCTTCCAGGACTCGGGGACAACAAACAACAGCAATTACAAACTTGGCAGAGTCGGAGCACAGAGAGAAGGAATCTCCAGGCCCTGAACATGCAGGCGTATCTGCAGGGGGCCAACCGAGCCAGGGCACAGTCCAGCTCTCCTGAGAGATGTCAGGATGAGGAGGGTGCAGAGCTGGGATGTTCATATTACGTCCTTATCCCCGTTATCCTGTCTGTTGTAAAGTCACACCTGTCTGATGGTGCAAATAGAGGCAGTTAAGTTAATGAGAGAGAAATGGGTGGTATCTCAAGGCAGTGTCTTTTGAGATATAAGAGATTAAATAAGGAAGTAGACACCTGAGGGACCACCAAGAAGAGAGAGCCAGGAGTGGAGTGCGTCCCTCAGACCAAGAACTCCTGTGCCACCTCCATCCAGGGAAGACGGGCCCAACGGGCAGCCATCTCCAAGGAACGCCAAGTCAATACTCGCTGAAAGGGGACATGAGCCTCCCTCGGAGATGACAGAGCAAGAAAGCCATGCCCAGGGCTGGCACCCTGAAGTCAGTCTCCTACACTTGAAGGGAATGTGCTTGTTTGTGAAAGCCATCCACCTCCGTACCTCCTCCGTCACAGCAGCACGAGGCCCCAGAGACAGACGCCACAAGGTGAGCTCAAGCACCAGTGAGATTTAGGAGCCACTAAGGGTGAGGAAGACCAGGCTGAGCTCCAGGCCCAGAGAATTCTTAGGACTCAGAGACAGACAGAGAGGGAGGGAGGGATGGAGGGAGTGTGCAGGAGGGAGGGAGGGTGCAGGAGGAAGGGAGGGAGGGTGCAGGAGGAAGGGATGAAGGGATGGAGGGATGGAGGGAGTGTGCAGGAGGGAGGGAGGGTGCAGGAGGAAAGGATGAAGGGATGGAGGGATGGAGGGAGTGTGCGGGAGGCAGGGAGGCAGGAAGTGTGCCGGAGACAACAGTGCCAAGGCAAGAGATGATGGAGAGGAAAAAAATCACAGGAAAACAGAGGCGACTATGAGAGAAGAAGAAATGCAGAGCTCAGAGAGAGTCAAAGCAGCTAAGGCTGAGGGTCATGGAGAGAAATATCCAGGAAATTCCTTTCCATCTCAAAGAACACAGAGGTGAATACACCACTGAGAGATCACGTAGAGAGGCCAGAGTCTGCAGGAAAAACACGACATGTGGACACTCCTGAGGGTATCTGAGGAGGGAATCTGGTTACAGAAATTCAGGGGAGTTCAGGCAGCCCTGGGCAGCGTGTGGGTCCAGTTCCAGACCTCTATAAAGCAAATATCCTCAAATATTTTTGGCTTGTAGTAAGAGTGTACCCTTGCATAACGAAAATGCTTAAAATATTACAAAAATGTGGCACTGCACACACACTGTTGAGAAAATGCATGGAGAGATGAGTTAGAGCAAGGCTGTCCTAAACCTTCAATTGACCACGCCTGGTATCTGTGAAGCGCAGCAGGGGAGGTGCGCTGGGGACTGCTGCCAACAGTCCCCACCACAGAGATCGGAGATCAGTGATCGGTGAGCAGTAAATAACGTGCATCATGAAGAGTCCCGCAGAGTTAAGAGGAACAGAAGAAAGCCGAAAACCCAGAAAAAGCAAAAAAATTCCTAGTCTTTTCCCCCTACTTTGAGGGGGAAGGGCAAATAAAAAAAGCTCTTTTCTGTTTTATGACCTCATAATTCTTACCTTGTCTGCCAAAGCTTTCAAACTGTCGAGAAATCTTTGCCAGAAATCCTTGAAGAGTGGCCGGTCGATCTTCTTCAGACTGTCTTTGGTGCTGGCATCCACACTAACGTAGAGCTGGGTAACTGGTTTGAGATTCCTTGGAATTTAAAGAAAAATTAGGAATCGTAGTAGTGACATATAAATTCTGTCTGTGTCAGGTTTTTTTCATGATGTGAAACTTCCGATCTGTAAGAGATGTGGTGGTTAACAGATGTGGGGACCAAACATCTCTAGAAATGTCTACTTCCCTCAGCAGACTGAAGCAATCATTTTCAGTAATGTGACAAAACGGAATATCCTTTAGTTGTTTTATTAAATGACTAGACCTCACATCAATAAATTTAAAACATCCAATTACTTAAAGCTTGTCCCTTTTCAAACATCAGTTTTAGCAGAAAATAAACCAAAGCAAGAGCTAGCGTGAGGTCCAGAAGCATCCTCCAGGACAATCAGGACGGGGTTGTGCCCGCACAGCACAGAGGGGAAGCACCTAGGCAAGAAAGAAGCCAGCAGGTCACATACACACCAGTCACTGCGTGGAACAAAGGTGAGGCAGTCTGCTCGCAGAGAGACTGAACAGCCCGGGGACCTATGTGCAGTTCCACTGTCCTCCAGTGTCACTGGGAGTCAGAACCAACATGACCACACATGACAGCACGTCACTACCAAGCAAAGAGCATTCCTTACTAAGAATGCAAACCAGCCGCAAATGGTAACAGCAGCACTCGTCTCTGCGTCCCTTTGCTGGGAGACCCCTTCTTAACGAACAAACTGGGAAACTGGACGCTTTCCTTTTAAACAACAAAGACTACCTTCCTGCATATGGCTGGCTGTCGCCGTCTGACACTCCCGGACTTTGTCAGCCGCTGTCTGCTGCAGAGCGGAGCTGGCCTGACCTTTTCACGAAGCTGCACAACAATTTAGGATTATGAACAGTAAATTTCAAAGGCCACGCTGGTTCTGCAAACCTCTATCATTTGCAAAAAAGAGGAAGTGCTGGACTCTGACTGCTCCTAGAAGGACTTTCAGAAAATGTGAAATGCCTGGAGGGTCCAATCTCTGCTGGGGGCAGGGGCAGGACAGAGGACAAAAGGGTCCCCTGAGTTTCGATGCTAGTCCCTATGCGCTTCCACTTCAAGCTGTCCCCACTTTTGCAACTTCATTTCCGGCGGCCACTCTTTGACATACTCTTGGGCCTGGACAGACTCAACTGCACAGGGAAACCAAACACCCGCAACCTCATGCCTATTCTAGGCGGCTCTTCATTTAACAGAACACGGTCTCCTGCCCTCCCAGGGACCAATCCCAGTCAGATTAAAATGCTGATCAAGGACTAGGTTCTGGGAAGTCCCCAGCACTCTACCGGTGCCTCTCCTGTGATCTTCCCTAACAGAGAAGATTTGAAGAGCCAGAGAATCGCTCTGCTCTAGCTCAGATTCCCCTGGTTCCGCTAGATGACGCTGGATCTGAGCTACAGTGAAGTGCATCAGGACTGTCTGGTACTTTATTAAGGCGGTTTGTACTTTATCAAGGGGTTTTTTTTGTATATCAGTAATATGTGATATCTACAATGTTGCTCAAAAGTTCACTCACAGATGTTAAAAAACAGGGTTTATAAGAAAACTTCAAAACTCACTGTCATCAAGTCTACTGCGATCACAGCGCCCTGTAGGACCGAGCAGAACTGCCCCAGGGAGGGGGCGGGGCTTGCAAGGCTATGCTCTTCAGAGAAGCAGGCTGCCTCATCTGGGGAGCAGCTGGTGGGTTTGAACCAGCAACCCTAGTGGTTGGTTGCTTTAACCACTGCACCACCAAGGATCTGTTGGACTTCAAAATATACTGATAATGAAAAGCGATGATAATAATAATAATAACGAGGCAATCCACCTAGACCTGAACGGACTAAGGACGGTCTCACTGCAACAGATCCCGTCGTAAACTGGGACCAGGGCAGCAGGACTCTGTGTCCGAGAGCCCGTCAGCTCACCTTTCGGTCGCACACAGGCTCAGTAACCAGTTAGCGGCCGGTCGTGGCTAGTGGCCCAGCTCACCTGATCTCCGCGGGGAACTGCGCGTTGGTGACCAGGAAGCTGGAAATCCCATGCTGGTGGAGGAGCTGCAGGAAGCTGTTGATCTCGGGGTACATGATGGGCTCTCCCACGAGGGACAGGGCGCAGTGTCTGACCTGCAGTCCCTCCTCGAAGCGCTCGGCTCTGACGCCCGGCACCCCTGGGAAACACGGGGGAGAAGAGCAATTCTCATACGCGATTCTTAATCACCCTCTGATGCCAGGGGCAGGTGCTTTGCTTTACACCAAAGAAGGCAAAACATGTCAGCGGGGAAAACAACAAAGGTCACAAAACCACTCGGCCATCTCATCCTTACTTTATTATTACGTGTCGTCCAGCTAATTCTGACTCACGGTGACCCCGTGTGATGCATGCTCAGTAGAACAGCCCAGTGGGCTGCTGGCTGTGACCTTCACAGAAGCTGTCAGGCAGGCCTTACTACAACACGGAAGGGCAGCTTCAAACTGCCAACCTTCTGACCCACACTAAATATATGTAATGTTTCCCCCCATTGGTTTTGCTTCTCTAATTGGCAGCATCAGGATGGATGGTGAAGAGATTGAGATTGTACACAGCTTTAGTTTGCTTGGCTCCGTAGTCAACAGTCTTGGCACCAGCAGCCAGGAAATTAAAAGGCGCATTGCCATGGGAAAGTCTGCTGTTAGGGACCTCTCCAAAGTACTGAAGAGCAATGGTGTCTCTCTGGAGACTAAGGTGCATCTGATATAGGCCATGGTCCTCACAATCACCTGTTATGCATCAGAGAGTTGGACCATGACCAAGGAGGATAGAAGGAGAATTGATGCCTTTGAGCTGTGGTGCTGGAGAAGAGTATTGAGAATACCATGGACTGCTAGGAAAACAAACAGATTTGTCCTGAAAAGGATTAAACTGGGTGGCTCCTTGGAGGCAAGGATTCTGAGGCTCCGTCTAACATACTTTGGACATGTTGTGAGGAGGGACTGGGCCTTGGAGAGGGAGATCATGCTTGGGAGGGTGGAGGGACAGCGCAAGAGAGGAAGGCCCTCTATGAGGTGAATTGATTCAGTGACTGGGGTAATCTGGATGGGAGTGTCAGGGACAGTGCGATTGGCACAGGACAGAGCGGAGTTTAGGGCTGTTGTACGTAGGGTCACTATGAGTCACAAGCGACTTGATGGCACATAACAACAACAACAGGGAGCCCAGCCAAAGACATGTCCATAAATGCATGCGTGTGTGTGTGTGTGTGTGTGTGTGTGTGTGTGTGTGTGTGTGGTGTGTGAGTGTCTATCATGAAGGTGATTCTGATCATGGGGAGTCTCCGCCAGGTTACTGAGACTATATACCTGAATGAGATCTACCTCAGTAACCCGACCTGCCTCATCCGTCTCCTGAGGTGCAGGTGCTGGATCTGAACTACTGACCTTCCAGTTTGCAATCCAACACCTAAGACATAATAATAATATGATACATCTGTATGCCTATTTATGCTGTTTGTTCTTGATATGTACTGTTGAGCAGGAACCGACTGACAGCTGACCCTCCAGCAAGTTTTCAGAGGCTGTAAATCACACAGGTGGAAAATGCCCATGTTTCTCCCAAGGGGCAGCTGGTGGATTTGAATCGCCCGCCTTTGGGTTGGCAGCACAGCTCCTTACCCACTAGACCACCAGAGCTCCCAACATGTCTAAGAGAGAAAAAGAAGCATCACAGTAGTCACTTTGTATTGGACGACTGTAACCTACTGAAGCCTAGCTCCAAAGCCAAAGATTGTTAAGGGATGTGGGTTCAAGCCCAGGCACTGGGCCTTTTAAAAGGCTTTTGGGTGATCTAATGCACCACCAAGGTGGACCACCACTGCACCCTACAGGACAATGGCAGAACTGCCCACAGGGTTTCAGAGGCTGTAAATCATGGAGCAGGCTGTTTGCTGTGCACGCTCCCATCAAAAAAATACAGAACATTTTAAATAAAAATCACACATACTGTCACGTAACATAGGAGGTGTGGAGGCACCGTGGGCCAAGCATTGGGCTACTCCTCTATCGGCATTTCATTCCCACCAGCTGCTCCACAGACGATGTGGCAGTCAGCTCCCCCCAGAAACCAAGAAGGCAGTTCCAGCCTGTCCTACAGGGATCTCCATGTGCCCAAGTCAACAGGGAGGCCGTGGGATGTGGGTCACTGGGTAGCATGTCCAAGCAAACACCCAAAACACCAAACCCAAAGAAGGTCCAAGAGTTCCCACTTGACAGGGGAGCGACCCTGGTGACAGGTGAGACCTCCAGGAGCCACCACCTGCAATTCCCAGGCTGTATTTCATATCCTTTTCATCAACCGGATAATAGTTTAATGAAAGACTAAAACCTCAACTCATGTGGATCAAGGTTTTAAATAAAACTTGATCTTTAATTCACTCTGTGTTGTCAAGACAACTCTGCGTAAAGCACAAAACTGCCTTTCTCTTCTCTTTCCAAAAGCATCATTAACCATCAGAAACCCCTCCCATGACCAGATGAGAAGGGTCTCCTTTTCCTGAACTCCAGAATTAACCTCCAACTCGGGAGGCAGGACAGAAGAGCACGGGCAAAGCCCGAGCCCCGGGAGGCAGGTGCTCTGAGCGCAAATTCTGCCTCTACAGTAGCGCCATGTCCCTGGTCAAATCTCTGAACTTCTCTAAGCCCGTGTCCCTAGGAAAGTAGGTGGGTGGATAGACACAGAGCCAAGTCCAGCACACATTCTTCCAAAAAGTTCTAGCTTCACTTAATTTTATATAATAATAATAATAATACAGAAGGTCTGAATTGAATCACCATTATCCGAATACTTACAGGAAATAGTCATTCCATTTGATTTCTTATTTACCAATCACTGTTGATCAGGGATAATACTGATCACCTTCTATGTGCAAGGGCTGTTCTAGCACTCCAGTTTCTACTGAAGGAAGCCTCTGAGCAGGCAGGCCGGCCAGGGGCCAGCAGCTACTATGTGTGTAAGTAGTAGATCTGCGTGGTGCCACCCCCACGGACACACACACACAATCTGTTCCTTTCATATTCCCCTCAACATCCTCCTCTGCTAACTCCACTGTGCTATTCTAATTATGAGCAGGTTTGGGTTTTCTCTTTTCCTAAAGCATGTTCCCTGACATTTCTCTTATCCTAAGCAGCTGCCCAATGCCTGATAAATCCCCACTAACGTCAGCAGGCCGACCAAGCAGCATACCCGTTTCTCTCTGAAACATGCCCAAAGAGGCACCTAAGTGTCCAGACTGCCTACGCTAACGGCACTGTGATAAAAGAACATGAAACCGGCCCAGCACAGAGCGTTCCCACTTCCACAGTTTGTGCCAACTAGAGCTAAAACATGCCCTTCTTCTTCCTGACCAGAGATCTTCACAAAAAGCCATCCCGGCTGAGAGTGAGAGCTAAGATACGGGGCTCTGATATGCACACCCATGTTTATCGCATCTTTGTTCACAATAGCAAGGAGTTGGAAACAACCTAAGTGCCCATCAACAAACGAATGGCTAGAGAAGCTGTGGTATATTC